TCGTGCCATTGCACTCCAGCCTGGGTAACAAGAACGAAATTCCGTCTCAAAAAAAAAAAAAAAAAAAATTAAGAATTCTAAGCTCTTATCCTCCATTCATTCTCTCACTGCCCTTGGGCGTGTAGCAGTGAGCAGGAGCACACACAGTCTCTGCTTTCATAGTGAAGGCAGAAGACATTGATCCAGACAAGCATGTTCATCCCTGAGAAATTCCAGCTGCGGAGGTGCCGCAGGAGAGTGACTGAAGGATTTGAATCAGTGAGGCTGCGGATGGCAGCCCAGAGCAGGAGGCCTGAGCTGTGATCGGCAGGAAAGGAGGGGCAATAACCAGCTGATGGAGGGCCTCACTGCATAGGAAGCGGCGTGTGCAGAGGCCTGCGGAGGGGAGGCTGTGTGTGCGGGTGTGCGGAGGGGCTGGAGGAAGGTCTGTGGCTCAGGCTGTCCTGCTCCTTACCTCTGAGTTCCCTGAGGGCATCCTGTGCCTTCTGCCTGCTCGCTGCATGGCTGTGGATCGAGCGGGGAGCAGGTGCGGAGGCGGGCAGGACAGCTCGAATGAGTGGTGCTGTCGCACAGGTCTCAGCAGGGCTGGGTCTTCAGCATCTGGACTTGGGAATCCCTTGTTGGTGGCTGGGGTCACATGGCCTGAGTTTCTGCAGGAACTGCCTCGGGGGCAGGAGGGTTTGGGGTTGGGGAGGGTGGGTCTGCCCCCAGCAGCTGCCCATGCCACGCTGTCCTTCCCTGCGGCCAGGTGAAGAAGATGGGCGCGCTGGGGCTTCTGGCCATGGACGTGCCCGAGGAGCTTGGCGGTGCCGGTCTTGATTACCTGGCCTATGCCATCGCCGTGGAGGAGATCAGCCGGGGCTGCGCCTCTACCGGAGTCATCATGAGTGTCAACAATGTGAGTCCTCTCCCAGGCCCCTGGGACACACAGGTGAGGGAGGCCCCTGTAAGCGGGGAGGCCCTGGCCTCGGCTCCCAGCCCTGATCTCTCTGGAGACATCACAGGCCTTGGTCCGACTGGGTAGGCTCTGGAGAGAACAGGCCCTGAGGTGCAGCCCACAGGTGGGCAGGCGTGCCTGGGCCGGGGCCTCTGACTGTTGCCTGCTGTCCCGCCAGTCTCTCTACCTGGGGCCCATCTTGAAGTTTGGCTCCAAGGAGCAGAAGCAGAAGTGGATCACGCCTTTCACCAGTGGTGACAAAATTGGCTGCTTTGCCCTCAGCGAACCAGGTATCTGCCCTGTCCCCTCACTTGTCCTTAGGGCAACAGGCCCAGGTGGGGAGGAGAGGAAGGAGCAGGGCCCACTGCTTCAGAGGGGAGGCTCCGTGTGGTTGCAGGGTGAGCGCTCTTGCCTCCGAGGCGCTGGGAGGAAGATGGGCTTCAGGGTCCCCTGGTTTAGGATACCCAGCTCCTGCACGGCCCCTTTGCCCTCTGGGCCAGTCACTGAGAGCTTTGGGACCCTCATCTTTGGAGCCCAAGTCATAGGGTCTCATGCCCATCAGCAGGGGGTATGGAGGGGGAGAGGTGGTGCCCTTAGGTCGGGTGGGGTGGGGCCTGCACTGAGCCCTGAGTCTGTGTGAGAGCAGGGAATGGCAGCGATGCGGGAGCCGCTTCTACCACTGCCCGGGCCGAGGGTGACTCGTGGGTCCTGAATGGCACCAAAGCCTGGATCACTAATTCCTGGGAGGCCTCGGCCGCCGTGGTCTTTGCCAGCACGGACAGAGCCCTGCAAAACAAGGTAGACACCCCAGAGAGGGCGTCAGCCAGACCCTGGGCTGCCATCATTTCAGTTTCTAGATCATTCTCACATTGGCCCAACTGGAACTGTTTTTGCTCTGCGCCTTCCCCAGAAGCTGGCAGAGGGTGTTGGGGCCTCCAAGGGAGGTGGGTAGGGGACCTGACTGGTGTTGGGTGTGCTGGTGTGAGGGTGTGGCTGAGGGGCAGCTCTGGGAAACCGCCCGCCTGTCCGGGACCTTTCAGGGCATCAGTGCCTTCCTGGTCCCCATGCCAATGCCTGGACTCACGCTGGGAAAGAAAGAGGACAAGCTGGGCATCCGGGCCTCGTCCACGGCCAACCTCATCTTTGAGGACTGTCGCATCCCCAAGGACAGCATCCTGGGGGAGCCAGGGATGGGCTTCAAGATAGCCATGGTGAGTGCGGCGGTCGGGATGACACCTTGGGTCCAGGCCCATGCCCTGCTGGCCAGCCACTGACCAGGGCGGTTCCCACAGCAAACCCTGGACATGGGCCGCATCGGCATCGCCTCTCAGGCCCTGGGCATTGCCCAGGCCGCCCTCGATTGTGCTGTGAACTACGCTGAGACTCGCATGGCCTTCGGGGCACCCCTCACCAAGCTCCAGGTCATCCAGGTAATGGTGGCAGCTTTGGGAGCTGGGCCTAGAGGCCAGATATTGGGAGGGAAGTGTGGCCTCCTCCCTGCTGTCTGTCCTCCTCCCCCTCCCTCCTGTCCTTTGAGGGGCAGCTGCTGACCTGTGGCGTGGGGTGGGGCTATTGCAGTTCAAGTTGGCAGACATGGCCCTGGCCCTGGAGAGTGCCCGGCTGCTGACCTGGCGTGCCGCCATGCTGAAGGACAACAAGAAGCCCTTCATCAAGGTGCCCACGGGAGTCCCCAAGGCATGGCCCAGAATGTGGTGGGCCCAGGGATAGGGGAGAGGTCAGGGCGGTCTCCACTCCTCAGCCCTGTGGGGAGGCTCCACAGGCTTCCCTTGCCGAGGGGCTGTATACAGGTGTGGGGAGGCCCCTCAAGGGAAGGCTCTGACCGCCCCCGCCATGTTTAGGAGGCAGCCATGGCAAAGCTGGCTGCATCGGAAGCCGCAACCGCCATCAGCCACCAGGTGAGTATGGGCGGTGAGCCCTGGGGGCCAGCTGCCCCTCCTCCAGCCTTCCCCATGGTGGGGGCGTCCTCTCCCTCCTGAGCCCCTGTTCCCGTCTTAGGCCATCCAGATCCTGGGCGGCATGGGCTACGTGACAGAGATGCCAGCAGAGCGGCACTACCGCGATGCCCGCATCACCGAGATCTACGAGGGCACCAGCGAGATCCAGCGGCTGGTGATCGCCGGGCACGTGCTCAGGAGCTACCGGAGCTGAGCCCGCAGCAGGCTGGCCCAGGACTTCGGGAAGGCACGGGAGCCCAGGGCCTCCGCCCCAACCCCGATTCAGAGGCTGGGCGGCCCAGAGGGGCTCAGCGCTGTCCACCCAGATCAGACTGCATGGGAATGAGGTCCCCAGCCACCGTCGGCTCCACCTCTGGGACTTGCCACCTCCTCACCACAGTGCCTCGTGTTCTTCATGAGTGGCCTGGCCTCTTGGGGGTGTGTTGGGGGGGGCTGAGTGACACTTGGGCACACCCCAGTTGTGCTCCTGGGGGCCTGGTGCCTGGCTTGAAGATCCAGTGGGACAGGCCCTTGGTGGAGTCTGCCTTTTCCTTGACGTCAGGGGTCAGTAGCGGGGCTGGGGTCAGAATGACGAGGCCCAGGGTCCTGGTGCTGGGCAGGCAGTGGGGCTGGGCCGTGGAGCTGGCCCTGAGGACCCTGAGCCCTTTGGAAAGTCTGATGAATGCTGGAGTCAGTGATTGGTGCTGTGCAACTGGCTGTGGGTAATAAACACACCTGTCCCCCAGTCTCTGTCCCTGCCCTCTCCTGGGTGCTGCCGGGAGGGATGGTGGTCTCTCACGTGCATGGAGCCCCCCTCTGGCAGGCCTCACCCTGAGAATGCTGGGAGTCTCGGGGAGGGGCCTGGCCACCTGGGAGTTCCTGAGTTCCAGCAGGAGGCCAGGTTGGCTACGGAGGCGGCTGAGGAACAGGAACCAGGTCCCGCAGGCCTCAGGGAGCGGCCCCCGAGCAGGGAGGGTCAGCCAGTCAGGGCTAGTGGGCTAGAAGGGGTTTTCTAGGCAGGCCCAGCCTCCACGCAGGTGGAAGGAAGGCCCCGGATTGCCAGGGTCAGGGAGCAAAACTGTGGGGACCCCGAGCCCCAGGTGGGAGAACACAGAACCTTGAAAAGCAGCCATTCTGCTCACTAGTGCATTCGGGGCCAGCTCTGGCCAACCATTGCAGGGGCTTGCCTGGTCCTGGTGCCTGCTGGGTTGGCTCCGGGCAGAGGTGTCTCTGAAGCTGAACTCCGGGCTCTTAACCCTTTGGGCCAGTGTCAATCAGAGCAGCTGGAAGAGAAAACAGTGAGCAAAGGAAGACTTCAGAGGGGGTGGGGACAGTCCACCGCTGGGCAGGCGGGACAGGCGGGGCAGAGCTGGACTGGCATTGCTGGGAGGCCTCTGGAGGGATGTGGGAGAGAGACAGGTGACTCTTTAGGAGCTGTCATCAAGGGGCGCCCAGGAACCCCGAGCCTGTGCTGCATTTGGATTTTTTTTTTGAGACAGTCTTGTTCTGTCACCCAGGCAGGAGTGCAGTGGTACGAGCCAGGTTGTCACAACCTCAATCTCCCAGGCTCAAGTGACCCTCCCACCTCAGCCTCCCAGGTAACTGGGACCACAGGTGCACACCACCGTACCTGCCCAGCTAAGTTTTAAACTTTAAGAGATGGGGTCTTTTATGTTGCCCAGGCTGGTCTTGAAGTCCTGGACTGAAGTGATCCTTCCACCTTGGCCTCCCAAGTGGGATTTCTGTGTCAGGCACTGGTGCCCCACAGCCAAAGGGTGCAGCCTGGAGCTGCTGTTCTGCAGGACAGCTTTGCCCTTGACCCTGCCCTGGGCCTGGTCCAGGGCCCCGAGGGATGGGGGTGTGCCTCCTTGAGCAAATTTAGGTCCTGATTGACCCCACAGGCAGGGTGCGCACGGGACCCATGGGTAGTGCATTCCCTGCTAACGAGGCACACCTGTGGCTCCCGGGAAGCGTGTTGGCCCGGGCTCCTGCGGCCCGTGGCGTCCTGCCCAGCCCGCAGAAGTTTGGGCCTCTGGGCTTTCCTCCTGCCTCCAGGTAGGTGCTACAGGGTCTTGGCTCCTAGCTCGTGATGTCTTGAGGTCTCTTGGATCTGCTTCTGTTCCCACCCTGGGCTCAGGTGCAAGGCAAAGGTATGAGAGCAGAGGGGGACCCAGGACGCTTCCAGAAGCAGCTGCGTTTGAGCCCTTCCACCTGGGGGCAGATGAAGGCCTGTCATTCCCTGTCCCCACAAGCCCTAGAACAGTGGGGAGGGGGTGTTCAGAGGCTCTGTGGCCCTCTCGGCAAGGCAGCGCCTCTCCTGCACAGATGAGGCCCGGGGTTGAGGCTGTCTTTGGACCCTTCCTCCAGGTGATGGGGGAGGGAGCCCAAACAGCCTTCATCCTAGGCTGGGGACTTTGGTCCCACCCAGCTTGGAGTTCAGGCCCAGAAGGCCTCAGACCCCCCTGCCCCGCCCACTGAGAAGGATCTGGGGGGCCCTGGAGGGTTGAAGCCAACTGGAGCCACCTTGCTCCCACCAGGGCAAAGGGCTGGAGGCAGCCCAGGCCAAGAAACAGGCCTGTGCTTCCCAGGTGGCGACCCCAGGCGGGGTTTCTGCTTCTCAGACCTGCCAGGCCTCGTTCAGATGGCGGGGAAAAGAGCCTTGCCAGGAAGTGCCTCGCAGCCTCAGAGGCCTAGTGTCCTCAGATGAAGCAACCGAGGCTCCGAGCCAAGAGCCATTCTGTGCACTCAGGGGCTCCTCGGTGCCATCGCGGGTCCAGGGTCTGCCCTTCAGGGAGGGAGGGTTGGCACAAACCCTCGGCTTCACAGGGTGCTGCCAAGTTAGTGGAAGCTCCTCTTAGCTTGGAACTGAATCTGGACTTGGCCCTGGGGACATTGGAGCCTGAACTGTCCTACAACCTGTGCCCCTTTGATTCAAATTCCTCAGTGGGTATTTCCTAAGGGCAGGGACATTCACTTATGTAACAACTGGACTGCTAGCCAAGCTGGGAACTTAACCTGTCAAGGCTCACATCTCCATGCTCCACTCAGACGGTGCCAGCCGTCTCCGTGTCAACTCTCCTCAAGGCCCAGGAGCCTGCATTGTGTGTAGCTGAGAAGTCACCTAGTAGAGATGGGGTTTCACCATCTCTGCTAAAGATCTGACCAGCCCAGGCTGGTCTCAAACTCCTGGGCTCAAGTGATCTGCCCACCTCGTCCTCTTGGAGTGCTTGAGATTACAGGTGTGAGCCATCATGCCTAGCTGAAGAGTATTATTTTATAAATATGGGGTTTTCTTAGGTATTTTTGTTAACGATTTTTTTTTTTTGCAACAAAGTCTCGCACTGTCACCCTGGCTGCAGTGCAATGGCATGACCTTGGCTCACTGTAACCTCCACCTCCTGGGTTCATGCAATTCTCCTGCCTCATTATCCTGAGTAACTGGGATTAAAGGTTCCCACCATGATGCTCGGCTAATTTTTTATATATTTAGTAGAGATGGGGTTTCACTCTGTTGGCCAGGCTGGTCTCAAACTCCTGACCTTGTGATCCACCCGCCTCGGCCTCCCAAAGCGCTGGGATTACAGGCATGAGCCACCAGCGCCCGGCCAATGATTTTTTAAAACTGTGATGCAGTTTGCAGTTTGAAGCATTTTAAAAGGTACACTCGGTGGCATTGAAGACATTCACAATGTGCGACCATCTCCACCATCTAGTTCCAGAACATTCTCATCACCCGAGCAGGAAACTCCGTACCTCTTGTTGCTGGTTTTTACCTTAATTGCATTGTGGTCTCAGCACATTTTCTGCATTATTTGAATGTTTGAAATCCGTTGCGACCTGCTTCATGGCACTAAGTTACTTTTGTAAAGATTGAACATTAGCGATTTGGTTTTTCCATGTTGATACATGACGTTCTAGTTCATTTGTTTGAATTGCTGCACTGTGCCCTATGGTATAGACTCTATTTGGGTAGTTTTTTACTCTCACAAACCATGATGCAGTGAACATTTTGGTACGTGTGTCCTTGTTCAAGTGTGAGAATTTAAACTTCTGAGGATTAAATGGAAGTGGGCTTGCTGGGCCTGAAGGCTGTTTCTTCAGCTTCCAGCTCTCGCCAAATCGCCCTCCAGCGGTTGATCAGTGGTGGGATCTCCCTCTAAGCGACTGCAAGTGTTGATGCGCGCATGCTCCTTGTTCATTGGCACCCGCAGATTTTACAAATGTTCTTCAATATGGTTGCGATTTTAACTTGCATTTCCCTGGTTTCTTGAGAAATTGCACGTCTTTTCACATGGTGATTGGTCATTCTGGTTTCTGCTGTGAATTGCTGTTGCCTGTTTCTTCTTTGGGTTGTAATTGATTTGTAATTGTCCCATGTGTATACTCTTGATACTGATTGTCAGATGTATGGTTGCAAAAAGGACCCATACAGTGTGTGGTTTTCCCTTTTGGGTTAAGACAGGCATGGTGGTTCACAAGGGTGGATCACCTGAGGTTAGGAGTTCGAGACCAGCCTGGCCAACATGGCAAAACACCATCTCTATTAAATACAAAATAAGCTTGGTGTGGTAGTGGGTGCCTGTAATCTCAGCTACTTGGGAAGCTGAGACAGGAGAATCACTTGAACCTGGGAGGTGGAGATTGCATCTCTGCACTCCAGCCTGGGTGACGGAGTGAGACTCATCTTAGGAAAAGGAAAAAAAATATAGGTAAAAGGAATACATTCTAGTGTTTTAGTGTTCACACAATATGGTGATTATGGTTATGAATAATTTTTTGAATATTTCAAAATAAATAGAAGATTTAGTATGTTCTCAACACAAAGTGATAGATGTTTGAAGTGATGGATAGTTACCTGATTTGATCATTAAGCATTTTATGCATCAAAATATCAGACATACCTCACAAATATGTATATGTACAATTATTGTGTATCAGTTAAAAAAAAAAAAGCTCCTATGTGTAGCAGAAGGGCAGACACAGTGCAGGCAGCCAGAGACCTAACAGGAATTTTCAGAGCTCCAGAGACTTAATACGAAGCCCCGGCAGGTCCCTTATGCTAAGGGCAGGGGTGGGGGAAGGAAAACCTGGCATCCGGAAAGTGGAGCCATGGGAACGGATGCCCCTGGTTCTGTGCTCCAGCCCAAACTCTGCAGGGTGCAGAGGGTGGTTCCCTCTCCATAGGAAGGTGAGCACTTCTGCTGTGCCAGAAGAGTCTATAGAAGCCTCTCCCAAGAAGGCCACAGGTACCCCTCTGCAGTGGCCCTCACCGCCTCTCCTGGCTGCCAGGCCCATGACTGTGGTTGAAGCCCAGCGTTACCCAGCTGGGGACAGGCTGGGGCCGATAAGAAAGCGACCATACACTGGTACTGGTTTTTTACTGTAGTAACACATTACTACACACTTAGTGGCTTGAAGAAATACCCATCTGAAAGGGCCAGGCACAGTGGCTCAGCCCTGTCATCTCAGCACTTTGGGAGGCCGAGGTGGTCGGATCACGAGGTCAAGAGATGAGACAGAGTCTTACTCTGTCACCAGGCGCCAGGCTGGAGTGCAGTGGCGCGATCTCGGCTCACCGCAACCTCTGCCTCCTGGGTTCAAGCAATTCTCCTGCCTCAGCCCCCCGAGTAACTGGGACTACGGGCACACGCCACCACACCCAGCTAATTTTTGTATTTTTAGTAGAGATGGGGTTTCACCATGTTGGCCACGATGGTCTCAATCTCTTGACCTCGTGATTCGCCC